TCTCTCCTGTACTTTTCCATTTGCTTCTTATGAATGAGTATACAGCTCTAAAAGTGGTAAAATAATAGCACTAGTTAGCAAATTTGGTTTATGCGTCACCTTCAAGACAATTTGGAAATATTAGTATTATTTATTAATGTAGGATTAGAGCGGTCTGGTGAAGAGATGTACGTAAAGTTTAATCTAATAATGATACTGTAGGGCCAGGATGACTGACTATGCTTTTAGACCAATCCCTCATGTTTCGTCAACTCATCCTTAAAATCCTATAAATGCTTGTATCTATTTTGGGAGAGGGCTTCACTCATTGAAAAGGAAGGTTGGAGTAAGAATGTTGGAATTTCCATTATATTCTTTGTTTATCAAGTCTTTTGGCTCTAGTCATCACACATAAATTCGCAGTTGGTTTTGATGTTTACACATAAATTTTCTGTCCTTGTAGTTTCTAATGTTTTCCATGTTTTTCCAACTGGGCTCAATATGGTTGTCGTTTCCGCAGCATAATTTTTATTTTTAAGTCCTCTCTGCCGGCCATAGTCGAGTACATGTGCTCAACATTTAGTTGGGTTTACCATCTGGCGTAATCTTGCATAGACCCAATTTAGTTTCTATGCAGCGTGTTAACCCAAGCCAAAGTATCTTCAGGTCAACTATCTACAAGACCTTGCCAAAAAGAGTTCTATGCTCGCAGGGTTTTCGATTCCAAAATTGGAGCTGTTATTCACATTGGATTCAAAGTTAAACAGAGAGAAGAAGCCAGAGTACCCTCTACTTTACAAATTGGCAGTAGGTTCTATACAGAAATAGAAAATTTCTCCTTATTTTACCAGCATCCTAAGGAGGTATTTCGTTTTTGTCTTTATATATATATATATAGATAAAAGGAGGGTTCAATAGAATATGAAATTTATAGCATCACAAAATTAAAGCATCCTATTACTGATCCCTCACTGAAGGGGTTGAAAGAATTGCGAAACCAGCAACAACATAAAGATTACAAGACCAAAGCGAATTAGTGCAATTTTGGCAAAATATTCATTAGCATAATATATGTGATTGGAATAAAACTTGGGAACTCTATAAGGGGAGGTGGTGATGAGTAGGAGTGTAAGGGGAATAGGCGGGTGAGCTTGCGACAAAAGATGGGGCGGCACTTGTAGCATGAGCCCTGGTTGGAGTCCTTGGTTTTGTGGGGCTTCTTGATCTTGGCATCATGGCACTGCGCCCATATGCTCTCTCCCCGCTCCTCCGAGGCCCTCTCTCTGCCCACTTGAGCTCTGCTTCCTTCACGCTACTTGGATACCTCGAAAAACAACCCATCTTTCCTGCTCTTTTTATGTACCTATTCAATCAGCCATAAACGTCAACAGGCACATTTTCTAATTATTAGAGAATCGGGCAAAGCAACGGTCCAATACTTACTGATCATAACTGATGGAAAATTAAATGGCTTGGGCTTGCGGTAAGTTACCTTTGGCTGAATCTCCTCCCCAGACAGAGAATGCACTTTCTACCCTCTGTCATTTCTCCCATGCCTATACATACGCATTGCCTACAATAAACCCTTCCACAAACCTGCAAATGTATACTAGTATCACTTGAATCTTGGTCTCAAAGACAGAGGCATAAGTGTCTATATAGGTGGACGTCACAACTAATTGATGATGAAGGTGATCTTAGTTGACGTGTTTTTCATGGCAGCATAAACTAATTAAGCATCAGCTTTCAGCCATATAGTGTTTTAGTTAGAATATATGGATTTATTTAAAAGCAACATCTGTGATCTGTGTTTAGAATGCGTGTTGCTGTTGTTGTAAACATTTGTAAATTGTTCTCAGCTATAGGTTTGGATAATTGAAATTAAATAGCAACACAGTATCTCATTTGATTAGTTTTATTAGCACATACCAGGCATCGATGTCGGAAGATGTATATAGAAGTAGTGCAGATGGTGCATATATTGGAGTGAGGAATCCCGGGCCGGTGCCTTTGCCCTCTTTCTGGATAGTTAGAAGCCATGCTTATGACGCTTACATCATCGTAGGCCACGCTTCTCTCCACGCCATGCCTAAACTCTGCCAGACCTCTTGGACTAGTTGCATGGCTACGATGACTCTGATCACCAGTACCATATCGATGACCATCCCATGCATGCATGTTTTCACCATCATGATGACGGGGGTGATGATGATGATGATGGTGACCCATGTCCATGTGTGAAACAAAGTTGGCATCTTCATAGCCAAGTTCAAGATAATGCTTATGGTGATAATAGCTGTGATCTTCGGTCGCTTGCTGGCCTCTGTTGAAATCAAGGCTGGATTTGGTCAAGGGTGATGCTTGTTTTGGATTTTTGGCTTCTTGAAGGGGTTCCACGCTTGTAGATTTGTTCTTCTCGGAAGCGTTTGCCTTTGGCTTCATATCTGCAAGGTCTTGGAAAGTGAGATTAACGGAGTCATCTGGGATTCCCAGATACAGTTCTTCAAGCTCCATCCTGGCCTTTGCCAAAGTTTGCAAGTCCCCCATGAGTCTGCTGATGAATTGTTATGCTTCCTCGGAGACAGTTGGACAGAGGCTTGTGGGAGAATGAATTGCTTGAAATCAAGAAGGTTAAAAGGGCGTTCATTGGAAATGGAGACGATTATAATATAATGCAAAATATGCTAGCTAGGCCGGACTCGACGATAACCTCGATCCTCATTTGATAATGATTTTGGAGTTGGAATCAATGTAACATATATATTCACCTAATTCCCACTATAAATCCTACATCCATTCGGCTGGATATGGTGACAGACAAAGATTCATTGCAACTTGACCCACAATTAACCTGAAATATATAACCATGTCGGATGGATTGTATATATCAACCCGACCAGAAATAGGACAAAAATCTCCGCCGGACCATTTAAATACAATGGCAATAGTAACCATGTCAAACCATATATTTGTCGGACTTGGTGGTTAGAATCGATGATTAAATGAATACTAAGACAAACCTGTCACATTAATCAGCGTGTAAGATGATCATATGCTACATATTAAACATATGCACTTGTTTGACAGGGAACCATCTCGTCCTACAATTTCGATCTTGGTCTATGTTTACCTCACACTAGAACTCAAGGTAATTTATATAGGTAAAAAAAAAATTAAAATTTTTTCTCGAATAAGAAGATTCGAAAATTTGTATATTTTTGTATGATTCAGTAAAATTAAAATCGTATCTTAATCGATCGAATCATTTTTCTGTTAAAAAAAAAATAAGAGATTGAATTCTCATTGCATAACTTTCCTGTTATGAAAATAGAATGAAAACAAACCCAGCATCATTAAGAAGCAAAGGTTGAAAAAGCTAATTAATTTTTTTTTTTTTGAAAAGGTGGATAAATAATTAAATTTATTGCATGAGGTGGTGCACCTAAATTTTTTCTTTTCAATTTAAAGGCTTTGTTATTGTAATTAGTGCGTATGACTGCTTACTTACATCTATGCATTTACCTCATGTAATTGTAATTTAATAAACTTTCGAAATAAACAAGATTATCCTCCCCAAGACTTTCTCCTAGTAGTTTACAAGAAACATTAAAGTTTGCTAATAACTCATTACCTCCACTCCTACTCCACCTGCGGTTCTAAAGCATTTAATTTCTTAGGAGTACAAGGAGAAGGGAGGAATCAAGATGTCAGGTATTAATTACTTTGGACCAATTACTTCAAAGCATTTGGCAAAGTAACAGCTCATCATCAAAAAAATGGGAACAATGCATGTTGAATGTGAGTTGTGTTGCTGATAAGGATAAATGGAAAGAGAGTAATGTCAGTCGAACACAAGTCCTTCCTATTTTCCACTTCTGGCATGAAATGTATGGCAAATTATTAACGCACTTTAATTCTCTCTGTTCTGGAGTGACAAAACGCTTCTCATCACTCATCACTCGGTGGATTCCTCCTCTATAAACTGACACTTCAGTAAGCTTCAGATAATGCACTGGAACAGATACAGCACATGATAAGGATAAGATTGATGTTCTCTTTAGCCATGGCGAACGCCAATTCCTCCCTCCACGGCGCTCTCGAGGGTGTGTCCTCTACTTCTTTTGCTACTTTGCTCAGCTTCTCCTCCACCCTTGTTGTCATGGCATTCGCCTTGTGTTACTTCTTCAAATTCCGATTGGCAGGCACTGAGAAGGCGAAGCAACCTCCTCTCCCACCTCTCCTGCTGAAACCTTGGCCTGTCGTGGGAAACCTCCCTGAAATGATCAAAAACAAGCCCACGTTTCGATGGTTACATGAGCTCATGAAACAAGTGGATGCTGGCATTGCTTGTATCCGCTTTGGGAATGTGCATGTCATTCCTGTCACCTGTCCAGAAATCAGTCGAGAATTCCTGAAAAAACAGGACGCTGTTTTTGCATCAAGGCCCATTAGCATGTCCACCGACGTCACCACCAAAGGCTTTTTAACAACAGCTCTCGTGCCCTTGGGAGATCAATGGAAAAAAATGAAGAAAGTTATGGTCACTGATTTGCTTTCCCCAACGAAACATCGGTGGCTTCATGAAAAAAGAGTAGAAGAAGCCGATAACCTTGTGCGTTACGTGTATAACCAATGCAAGACTTTAGATAAAGGCGGCCTGGTGAACGTGAGGGTGGCTGCACAACACTATTGCGGCAATCTGCCGAGGAAGCTGCTTTTTAACAGGAGGTACTTTGGGGAGGGTAAGGAAGATGGAGGACCGGGGTTTGAGGAAGAAGAGCACGTCCGCGCCCTTTTCACTATTCTTAGTTATCTTTATTCGTTTTGCATATCTGATTACATTCCATGCTTGAGAGGGCTTGATCTGGATGGCCATGAAAAAATTATGGACGAGGCTCTTCAGGTTGTTGGAAAATACCATGATCCCATAATCGAAGAGAGGATTCAGCAGTGGAAAAATGGCGACAAGGAGGCTGTGGAGGACTTGCTTGATGTCTTGATTACTTTGAGAGATGAGCATGGCAAGCCTCTTCTGACAATGGAAGAGATCAAGGCTCAAATTACTGTAAGCCTCTCTCAATATACTCTCTCGCTCACGCTCGCATGCATGCACATAAATCTAATTGACACGGTACTTAAAATAATAGGAATATTGAGATAAAATGTATGGAATAAATCTGGATGGGATGGGATGGGATGGGATGGGATGGGATATATTATAAGTAGACAGTCGTGTGCATGCAAGAGATACAAACTTTTCATCCATTATGTCTTATGTTAATTTTGTAGGAATTCATGATTGCTACGGTAGATAATCCGTCCAACGCAGTAGAATGGGCACTTGCTGAGATGCTAAACCAACCCGAGATACTTGAGAAAGCCACACAAGAAATAGACCAAGTTGTTGGAAGGGGGAGACTGGTCCAAGAATCTGATTTTGCCAAACTCAACTATGTCAAGGCATGCGCCAGAGAAGCCTTCAGGCTCCACCCAATAGCACCTTTCAATGTTCCGCATGTGGCCGTGGCGGATACAACCGTTGCCGATTACTTTATCCCAAAAGGGAGTCATCTGCTCCTTAGCCGGACAGGGCTGGGTCGGAATCCTAAAGTTTGGGATGAGCCACTCAAGTACAAGCCAGAGCGCCACCTCAAGGCTGATCATGGAACTCCACTGTCGCTGAGTGAGACAGATCTGCGCTTCATCTCCTTCAGCACTGGCATGCGTGGCTGCAAGGGCGTCTTGCTAGGGACTTCCATGACTGTCATGCTGTTTGCTAGGCTGCTGCAGTGTTTCACATGGAGCATCCCACCTAACCAGCCAGGGCAAGCCATCAATCTAACCGAGGCAAAGGAAAATCTCTTTCTTGGCAAACCGCTGGTTGCGGTTGCAAGCCCCAGGCTTCCCTCTAATGTCTATCCCGCTTAATGCAAGTACTGAAAATACTCCATAACCATAGCCATATCATATGGGATGTTGTTGCGTAGCACTAGCATGCAACTATTTTATATATATACTGTCTGTCAACCTTGAGTTTCGGTACTTTGGACGGAACGTCAATCAAAACCTTTCAAATTAATTAATATGCCAAACTCTTTAATTAACTTGTGTTATTTTCAATCATGGGTCCATATTTCATTTATTTATTGTTAAGCCAAGAAAAAAAGAGCAAACATTGGTAAGCAACATCAGCGTACGTTGCTCATATATATGTATTAATATCTGTCCTATATATTACGAATCCAGCTATCATCACCACTATATAACAGTCACTTTTCACCACCCTCACATTACATCACCACTATATAACAGTCACTACATTTTAATGCTCAGCTCTCATTGTCCCTGATACAACGACGTTTCAACATTACAATCAAACCGTCCAAGTGTGGCAGCTGGTGAATGCACCTATATATGTTTTCAAGACATATACTGTGCCTATACATGTGTGGTTAAGTTTGTATTTGAATTATATCATAAATGCACCAAGATGCCATGCATGCCAACGCCATTTTAATTGGGCTAAAAGTGCGAAATGAAAAAATAAAAAGCTGATTAAAGCAGTTCCGTAAAGCTATCAACGCATGCAAGTGGAGTAACCCAATTATCAAAAGTTGAATATACAGATTATGTAATGTCGAAAAGCAATTAACCTACCCCGACTAATTACTTAATTTTGTGTGAATTTTATTGCTTCTTTCTGTATTTGTGAAATTCATTTTGTCTCTATCCTTTCTTTTTTCCGAAATGAGAGAGAATTGATCAACCAAATCCCAGCCAGCAGCCTAGCATTGAGCAGTATAAGTTACAACACCACCATAACAATTCCGCACATGTACATGGAGAGAGAGAATTTACTCGTTACAGGGGTAAGGTAACAAATTAACAAGGAAATTACAGTGTGTGGAGGTGTGAGACAAACACCAACATATTAGAGAAAGGCAAAACAAAATTATTATAATTGTAAAAAGGAGAAAAAAAAAAGAGAGTCTAAATATGAGGAGATTTTTACTGAAGACCATTTCTCTCAAAACTGGGCTCCTTATGCCCTTCATCACTTCTGGTGTCATGCTCCCAACCTACAGATGCAAGAAACTCTTCATCAGATAGGTGTCTCTCATTCTCCTTGTTAGCTTGTGATAGAGCATGGGAACCAATCCCAAGGCTACCCTGTTGCTCACTTATTAGGCTTGGAAGCCCATTTTGCTTTATATAATTTTCAATCGGCATGCCGGCAGCTTGAACAAGACTCATCATATTCAATCCTGGTTCTTCAAGTTGCAGGTCTTCACGATTGGGGTGACAATTCAGGTCTATTTGTCCAGCACTGATCTCAGCTACCTCAGCTTGAATTCTGCTTTGGCTTCCTTCGTTCTCTGAATGATCAAGTCTTGCGTCATTCAGCTCTGATTCATCCTTGTGGCCATTACTATCTTTCTGGGAAATTTCTGCTTCACGTTCCGATTGGCGTTTCTTCTTCCGCAGCATGAGTGTTTTAAACCGGCGCTTCACAGTCATGCACACATTACAGGTGCATGTAGGTTTGTGCTTTCCCTTCCCACTTGGAGGCTGAATGCACACAATGCAGGTACAGCCAGGGCGGTGTCGGGGATGTTTTGTCGTAGCTCCAATTGAAGACTCCCCCACATCACCCATTTTGTCTCCTAAAACTGCAGCACTAGCCAGAGCATCCAAGCCTGAAGGTTCACGTTCTGTGGCCAGCTTAGGACTTTCTAGAATTTTTCGCTTCTTCAAATCTGGGAAAAGGTAGACAGGGAGAAAGAAGTCAGGGAGTATTTTGAAATTTGTAAAGGACAAAACCATACATGCCAAAAAAAAATTCATGCCAAATGATGAAAATTATGCAGCATTGTCAAATTCATGGATTTTTCACAGAATAGAACTCAACTGCAACTAGTAGCAATGGGCAGTTGTCAAATAACATATAATACAAGGATTTCCATCTGTCTACTTTGCTCAAATATGTGCAAAATTAATGAGCACTAGCACATACGACTAAAGGATCATTTATAACAAGCATTCAAGAACCATCTTCCTCTTGAAAGAACACCGGTTTTATTTTCCTAAAACCATCTTTAAAGCATAACGATCCACAGAACTATTGAGAGAATGGTGTCCGACCTCTACCCACTCGAAGAAGATTCTCCAGTTCCTTTGGGCTAATCTCCTCTGGTGCAGAACATGAACACCTAGGAGCACATCATTTGGGATCAGCGGGGCATAAACATCAAAACAAACTTTTCATCTCACAAACAGATCCCATTGGTAGTAATCTTCAAAAAAAAAATAGTCAACAAAGAAAAATGTTGCACCTGCTTGAATCCCAAACATTATCTAAACATGTCCACTTTGGAGGGAGAAGAACATCAACGGGTAACCTTCGCCATTTGGAACAATCATCACACTGGGCCCATTGCTCCTGTCCCCTACAGAAAATCCTCATGCCATTCAGAATTAGATGAATACTACTAGGAAAAAAAGAACTATATGAAGACATTCTTTATAATATATGCAGCAATGTGAGATTTTAGTGTTCCAGCATTTATCAATCTATAATTCATGATAAACTAATATAATTCCTAGTGTAAGAACCACTTCCAACAATTTTTGAACAAAAACACATTAGCAAACTGAAAAATGAAAGTTCTCTTTAAAAGATGAATGCATGAGACATATTCAACGAGATAACAGATCAGAGTGTGGGCATGAAACCAAAGTTTTCCAAAATGAAAACTCAAAGGGCTTGACCACCCTCAAAAGGAAGCTTTTTAACATTGAAACTTTTTCAGCATTCACAACCAGGAAATAGCTCCAAAACTTAGAGCTGTTACGATAGACTCTAGAATGCCATAAGACATGTTCAAATAATGTTTTAGAGTTTAGACACCTTTGCCAGACACCCTAACATAATCTCACTAGCTCTACCAGGAACCAATGAGAAATATAGACAAATACTATGGCCACATATAACTTTGTCAATTGTCTTTTTCCCAATACTCAAAGAAAATATAGAGAAATACATCATGTAAGTCTTACCCAGATGGTTGAGCTGCAAATATAGTCCTCTTTCCAAAAACAGGGGGTTCCTAAATAAAACAGACAGCATTGATCACACAGCTACCAATAAACCCGATAAAATATGAATTTGCATTGGCACACCATCATGGCATCATTTCAACAAAGAAAAACAGTGACTGTTACATACATCATATTCTTCAAATTCATGGTCCTCAATAGTCACAATGCTAGGCTTGACACTTGGGGGTGGACGAAGCAAGTCCTGTGCTTCTTCCCATGTGAGCCTTAACTCCAAAGCATCCTCACTATGCATCAGCAACCTCTTACTTTTGGACCCAATATTTCTAGTCCTCTTCTTCTCTGCATTCACTGCTGGTTGCTGCACTGGATCCCCATTTGCTCTGTCTCCATGGTTCTCACCTCTACCCCAACTGATGGTTCCATCAGCCAAACTCAAATGTTCAGACAGAGAATTTACAAGAGGATCCTTTCCTCCTTTTGGGGTCTGTAAAAGACCAGAGTAAGCACTCACTGTAGACAAATTCTCAATGCCACCAGAATTGGAAGTTTCCCCAGAATGTGCACCATTAGGAAGGGAAGATGTTTGGCCTTCCTGTTTATCAGTACATGTTCATGTAAACTATAAGTTAGTTTAGAAAAGAAATCCAATCATGTTTGAACATGTTAGAGAATTTTTGCCATGATGCTTGACCTGTGCATCAGAGTTTGTCGCCTTCCGAAACCCCATAACAAGTTTACCTCCAGGATCTATTTGACTAAATGTTACTGCAATAAACAAGAATAGTTTATTACCATAAATAAGAGAAAGAAAAGTAAAGGTCTGCAATACAAGTTGACTTCCCACTAGCATGACGTAGCAGAATATAGAAGAAAGCCATCAGATTATTAAGGAAAGAAATAACACCAATGCAGATATCTACATGAGAAACACTATTTTTTTTTTCAAAAAAAATACTATCAATACAAAATCAAATAAGATAGATTAGCATACATATCAAGCAAAGTTATAAATTGTGTTCTTAGCAATAAAAGGAACAAAGCATACCAGTATCGCCTGCTCGTAATTGCATGGACTGAATACAAGGTGTTACGCCCTCCAAGACATACATCCTACTATTGTTATTTGGCCAAAACCTGAACTGAAACGTCCATTCTTTCCCCTTTACATCTTGAATCCTTAGAGGAAGACCTTCTGATTGTGAAATGGGAGGAAAATATGCCTGCAATGATTTCTAGTTCATACAAATGCAATGCCAGGAAAAGATAGGAGAAAGGGTGGAGGCGGGGACATTGTCAGGGAGG